TTGCCCTCCCTTCCCAACCCATGTTTTTTTTTTTTTTTTTTTCCTTTTTTTTTTTTTTTTTGTTTTTTTTTTTTTTTTTTTTTTTTTTTTTTCTTTTTTTTTTTTTTTTTTTTGGCAGCTGGCTGGTACAGGGATCCAAACCCTTGACCTTGGTGTTATCAGCACCAAGGCCCAGCACCACACTCTAACTAGGTGAGCTTACCCACCAGCCCTCTTTTTTTTTTGTTTTTCCTTACTTGGTTCCATTTTACTCTTTTCGGTTTCCTGGATATGCGGTGTGATAGTCAGCAATCAGATGATCAGTTGCTTCCTAATTACTGAGCTTTGTGATCGTTTGAATTTGTAGATCTGGACCACATTGAATGCTAGCTTCTAGAATTTGTGTCTCATCTTGAGACTGGAAACAACAGAGATTTTAGTGTAAGAGGGATGATTTTGAAAGATTAGTCTTTTAGCAGTGATTGGGACATATTGGAGTGGGAAAAGATTGGTGGCAAGGACATCAGCTAAAGATGGTCTTTCTCAAGGCATGAAGTAATGAGGCTCTGGTGAGATGGGTACAATGAGTAATCCCTGGAAGATCATCCTTCTCTGGTCCCAGTCCTGTCACCACCAGACCCTGTTTTTTGACTGCTGTTTCCCCACACCACCTCTGCTTAGTCTTGTTCTGTTCTTCTTTCTCATTTCCTGTCCTGCTGCATAGACAGATGTTGAGTACCTGCTCACCCTTTCCCTTTATGCGGCTGTACTTCTTTGCCCAGTCATCTTTCTTTTCTCAAGTTCTCCCGAGATTGCAAGGCTATTTTTGAGAGCTTTCAAGTTCATGCATTCCCTGTAAGCATTTTTAGTTTGTTTGTTTCATTATTTCCCTATCACAGCAGTTATTTTTCTCTCAGTATAGGAAATGATGCGTGTGTATTTTTTCTTCTTTCAGACTGGGAGACAACAGGAAGCAAGGAGCTAACTCCAGAGAAGGACATCTCTGAAGAGGAATCAGTCCCTGGGGTGTTAATAGAAAGATTTCCAAAGGAAGGTTCCAGTGAATGTGAGGATTCTTTAGAAAATCAGCAAGAAAACCATGAGAAACATTTGATACAAGAGGTTGTCACTCAGAAATTTTCTGGGGAGAGAAGTTTCCAGTGTGATGGATTTAGAAGAAATTTGAATCGGAGGTCATTACTTGTTCAACAACAAGGAGAGAGACTACATAATTATGATTCATTTAAAAAGAACTTAAAACAAAATTCAGATATAATTAGGCACGAGAGAATTTGTACAGGAAAGAAGCCTTGGAAGTGTAATGAGTGTGAGAAAGCTTTCAGTTACTACTCAGCTTTTGTTTTGCATCAGAGAATTCATACAGGAGAAAAACCCTATGAATGTAACGAATGTGGTAAAGCCTTTAGCCAGAGCATACACCTTACTCTACACCAGAGAATTCATACCGGAGAGAAACCCTACAAATGTCACGAATGTGGGAAAGCCTTCAGTCACCGCTCAGCCCTTATTCGGCATCACATAATTCATACTGGAGAGAAACCCTATGAATGTAATGAATGTGGGAAGGCCTTTAATCAGAGTTCATACCTCACTCAACATCAGCGAATTCATACTGGAGAGAAACCTTATGAGTGTAATGAATGTGGGAAGGCCTTCAGCCAAAGCACGTTCCTTACCCAGCATCAGGTTATTCACACTGGAGAGAAACCTTATAAGTGTAATGAATGTGGCAAAGCCTTTAGTGATCGTTCAGGCCTTATTCAGCACCAGAGAACTCATACTGGAGAGAGGCCTTATGAGTGTAATGAATGTGGGAAGGCCTTTGGCTACTGTTCAGCCCTGACTCAGCACCAGAGAACTCACACTGGGGAGAAGCCCTATAAATGCAATGATTGTGCCAAAGCCTTCAGTGACCGCTCAGCCCTTATTCGTCATCAGAGAACACACACTGGAGAGAAACCTTACAAGTGTAAGGATTGTGGGAAAGCTTTTAGCCAGAGCTCATCTCTTACAAAACATCAGAAAACTCACACTGGAGAAAAACCCTACAAGTGTATGGAATGTGGAAAAGGCTTCAGCCAAAGTTCATCCCTTTCTCAACATCAGAAAACTCATGCTAGAGGGAAAACCAAGAAGTACAGACAATCCTTCAGTGATCATTCAGACTTTAGCCAACAAAAGAGAATTCATACTGGATAGAGATCATGTAAATGTATATTCAGAAGGTATTTATTGAGCATCTATCATACATGCTGTGGGGCTACAAAGAAATTTAAGACTTACAAAAAAGTTATTGAGAAGTCATTGTTTATGTAGGACAGAGTTTAATTAGGCTGTAAAGGGTGGGGGGTATGTTTTTTTGAATGTCCTAATGGAGGACACTGAATTTTCCTGGGGAAAGAGGAAAATTATTTCTGACATCCTAATGTGTATGTAAACTATCAGATCCTTTAGAGAGAAATAGGGTATGCCATGGTGGAAAGAAGGCATCTTGGCTGGGCTAGATAGTCTCTTAATGCTAAGGAGATAAAGTTGTAAAGAGATAAGTGGTTCTTTTAGGGAAATTACAGGGATAGAAATAAGAGATTGAGAATTTATGATGATGAGTTTGTTCAGGGTCAGAAGTGGTGGCAGAAGGAAAGTTGTCCTTCTGTGCTAAGTATAAGGACACAAAGGATGGAGAGGATAGAGAAAAAGAGCTAGGGGGGAAAATGCAAGAAATGTTGACAGAGATAACTACTCAACTGAGTATTCACAACCAGGAAAATATTAGACTTATTAGTTGGTCAGTTGCCAAGTTTCTATGAGGACAACTTTACCCTGAAGCTGAGGAATGTTGGCCTGGGGGTCTGCTTCTGCACTTTTTGTCTTTTGGTCTTTGTTTATTGAGGTGTCACCTACAAGGATTCATGTCGAGACCTACAGCTTAGAAAGAGAGAGTAGAGAAGGGATCTTTGATGTGTTCAATCTGTTTTAAGCTATCTGAATTACCTGAGAATGTGCTTATTTATAAAGATTTACTTCAGTTGTATGTAGTTTGTACCTTAGGTTTTTTTCATACATAGTAAAATTTAGTTGTAGACTTGTTCTAATTAGATTGTGAAAAACTTGAAAAGATTTTGAGGGCCGGCCCGGTGGCGCACTGGAGAGTGCGCCGCTTGGGAGCACGGCGGCGCTCCTGCCGAGGGTTCGGATCCCATGTGGAGACCGGTTCCCGCTCACTGGCTGAGCACGGTGCAGGCGCAACACCGAGGGTTGCGATCCCGTTGCCGGTCCCCGGTACAGGCGCGACACCGAGGGTTGCGATCCCGTTACCAGTCAGTAAAAAATGGCGCACTGGAGAGTGCGCCGCTTGGGAGCACGGCGGCGCTCCTGCCGAGGGTTCGGATCCCATGTGGAGACCGGTTCCCGCTCACTGGCTGAGCGCGGTGCGGGCACAACACCGAGGGTTGCGATCCCGTTACCGGTCAGTAAAAAAGACAAAAAGAAAAAAAAAAAAGATTTTGAAATACTTGCCTTTCACCATTTTACTCTTGGGTAGAGGCAGATGACATCACTGTATTTTTTCTTCCTTGAAACTTTGAAGGTTATTATTGGAAACGTTATTTCCAGTGCAGTATTTTTAATTTTCAGAAGTTTCACTATTATGTGTCTTGGTGTGGATTTGTTTGAGTTTATTATGTTTGGGGTATACTCAGCTTCTTGAGTCTGTAGGTTTCTGTCTTATGCCATATTTGGGAAATTTTTAGCCGTTGTTTCTTTGAATACATTTTTAGATGAACCCCCACTCCTTGTCTCCTGGGACTCTGATGACAAAAATGTTAGGTCTTTGGTTGTAGTCTCACAAGTTCCTGAGGTGCTGTTCATTTTTTTTTCAGTCTATTTTTGTCTTAGTCTGCTTGATTTCCCATAACAAAAATAGCCATAGACTGGGTGCCTCAAAAAAATTCATTTCTCACAGTTCTGGAGGCTGGGAAGTCCAATATCAAGGTGCCATCTGACTCAGTTTCTAGTGAGGTTTCTCTTTCTGGCTTACAGATGGCTGCCTTGTCACTATGTCCTCACATGGACTTTCCTTAGTGCATGTAAGTGGGGAGAGATCTCCTTACAAGGCCACCAATCCTATGGGATTAGGACCCCACCTTTATGACCTCATTATACCTTAAGTACCTCCCCAAAATCCTATCTCCAAATACAGTCACATTGAGGGATATGAATTTTAGGGGGACACAGTTCAGTCCGTAACATTTTCTCCTTGCCACCCATTTATGTCCTTGTATGCAAAATACATTCATTCCATCCCAACAGCCCCAGCAGTCTTAACTCATTACAGCATCAACTCTAAAGTTGAAAGTTTCATCTTAATATCGCTAAATCAATATGGGTGAGACTTGAGGTACAGTTCAATCTGAGGCAAAATTTCTTTCCAGCTGTGAACCTGTGAAATCTGTACATAACTTCCAAAGTATAATTGGGGGACAGGCATGGGGTAGACTTTCCAATTCAAAAGGGGAGAAATAGGAAAGAAGGAAAGGGTAGTAGTTTCCAAGCAAGTCTAAAACCAAGCAAGGCAAATTCAATTAGATCTTAAGGCTTGAGAATAATCCTCTTTGACTCCTGCTTTCTGGACTCACTGGGTGATGGTCCTGTCTCTGCAACTCTGCCAGGTGCCCCCCCCCCAAGGCACTGCAGGGCTGTCCTGCCTCTAAGGCTTAGGTTGGAGGCGATCTGGTGAGCTAAGGCGATCACTTCACCATTTGAAACACAGGAGGCAGTGCTGATTGTTCAATTGTCTTTAGGGTCATTCTTTCCTTTTTTTGAGAATAGTGCCAAATAGGTCTATTGTCTGGTCCTGTAAGATGTCTGAAGCCCAATGGCCTTCTTTCATTTAGTCTCTTTTTCTCTGTCCCCTTTAGTCCCAGCTGGCTTTATTTCTGCTGGTATAGTCCCATTTTCGTTCTTGACTTCTGCTTGGGTAGCTGATTGAGTCCATGTGTCACGCCCATGATCTCTTTATCAAATGGTGTTCTGCCACGCCCTTAGTGTTTTCTTCATAACAAACTTTCTCATTTTGTGCGATATGGATAGAATTTAACAGATCTCTTAAGTTCTGGTTCTCTTTGCTTAACAATTTTTTTCTTCAGTTCATCTCTCTCCACATTATATTATAAGCAGTACAGTAAGGAGGATCCAAGCCACACCTTCAATACTTTGCTTAGAAATCTCCTCGGCTAAATATGTCATTTCATCACTCTCGAGTTCCACCTTCCACAAAACACTAGAACACAGTTTAGACAGGTTTGCCACTTTTCAACAAGGATCACCTTTCCTGCATCTCCAGTAACATGTTCTTCATTGCCATCTGAGACCTGACTAGAGTGGCCTTACACATCCATTCTTCTAGTATACACCTCAAAACTCTTCTAGCATCTACACTATTGTCCAGTTCCAAAGCTGCTTCTACATTTTTAGGTATTTGTTACAGCAGTACCCCAATTCTTGGTACCAAATCTTAGTCTGCTCAGACTGCCATAACAATACCATAGATTGGGTGGTTCAAACAACAAATTTACGCCTCACACTTCTGGAGGCTGGAAGTCCAAAGTGAAGGTCTAGCAGGGTTCAGTTCCTGGTGAGGGCTTTCTTCCTGGCTTATAAGATGGTTGCCTTTTCACTGGGTCCTCACATGGCCTTTCATCAGTGGATGTGTGTGGAGAGAGAGATCTCTTCCTCTTCTTGTAAGACCACCAGTCCTGTGGGATTAGGACCCCACTTTTATGACCTCTTTTAACCTTGATTATCTCATAAATCCTATCTCTATATACAGTCACATTGGGGGTTAGGGCTTCAACATAAAGAATTTGGCAGAGGGAGGGAGACACAATTCACCCCATAGTAATTTTCTTTGTTATTCAGATTGGATATTTCCTCTTTTTTTTAATCTTCAGGCTCACTGGCTTGTCCCTCTGCCTTCCATTCTGCATTGAGTTTTATTTCAGTTATTGTATTTTTCTGTTCCGTTTGATTATTCTATTTCTTTGCTAAGACTTTGATTCTTTGCTGAGACTTTACATGTTTTTGTGTCAAGCATGTTTGTAATTACTGAGGCATTTTTATGAGAGTTACTTTAAGATTCTTGTTAGAAACATGATAAAGTAGAAAAAAATTGTTAGGTAATTCTAACATCTGTGTCATCTCAGTGCTGGCATCTGTGGATCATCTTCTCATTCAAGGTGAGATTTCCTTGATTGTTGGTGTGATGAGTGATTTTCTGTTGCAATCTGGACATTTTGAGTATTATCTTATATGACTCGGTATCATTTTTAAATCATCTGTTTTGGCAGGTCTCTTCAGACACCACTTTGGTGGAGAAAGGGTTGGCAGGATGTGGCTTCATTAAGTTGCTGTTGGAAGTCCCAAGTTCATCATTGGCCTCTTGACACCTGGGGCAGGGGTCAGTACTGCCGGGCAGGGGTGGAATTTACAGCTCCACACTAGGCCCCCCCGATACTACCCTTGCTGGGAAGGTCAGGAATGTCCTGTTAATGCTCCTGACATGGTCTCTACTGGCACCATGGGGTGGGGTGGGGTGTGACTTCATTACTATTGGGTGTTGGTATAAGACCTGACTCTCTGCTAACACCACAACAGTAAGGAGGGAGAGAGATGTCTTGTCTCTGGGTAGAGCTGGAAACCTAGTCTCCCCACATGTCTCCACTGACACTGCCAGGGTGGGGGGGGAGGGTGAGTTTTGAAAATCTGCCCACTTGGCCTTCTCTGATACCACCCCGTGGTGAGGGTGAAGGGTTGAAGAGCCTTGCTATGGCCTGGCAAGGGTGGAAGTTTACCCCCGACTCAGCCTTTGTTGGTGGGAATAGGGCTACAGTATTTTCTGTGGTATTTGGCTGGAATAGAGCAGTTACTGTCTAAAAGTTTTCTGTCTTGATTGGCTGTTTTCTTCCCAGTCCTTTGGCTAGAAAAAGCAGACCTTTAGGCAACCCCCCCCCTTTTTTTTGTCTGTGCCTGTTGGCATTTCTGGGTTGTCAGCTTCTCCAGAACCTAGACTGGGATAGATGAGGCAAAAAGAAAACCCAAGAAACTCATTGCTGTGTTGTTCCTCAGGTTCCTAGGCCCCTAGCCAGTCTATTCTCTCTTCAGCTTGTGGAACCTTCTTACGTTTGTCTTATAAGATCCAGGATTCTTAGCTGTACTTAGAGGGATAGGGGAAAGTACTACTCCGTCTCTCCCATGACATCCTTGCATTTGACACTGCAATGGCACATCAGTTGTGTAGAGTACAACCCAAAGGTTTGTGGGATACATAGGTCATTTGTTACCAGTTAGGAATAAGTACCAAGAGGAATGCTCACTGGTTCCCCAAAGATAAGCTACCAGTTTGGTAGGTAGGAACTACCAGGTGGCCTCATCTAGCTTTGAAGTAACTGTGGTTTTTAACTTGGGAAAACACCAGTGTTTATTGTAGATTGCAAACTTGAGAAGGAAAGATAGATATGACTAACAATATAAACTATAGGGTTAACATTTTTTGTTTGTATCTTTGTTCCAAGATTATGAGAGAACCACTGGAGAATTGGATTCAGAATTTTGGTGCCTTTTTTTTTTTCCAATTATGTATTATCTATATGTGGCTATACATTCATTTTAATTAGATATATAGTACATGTTATCATAGAGAACCAACAAAATAAAGAATGAAAATAATTGAGATTTGGGACAAGTCATGTAAGCCTTTGAAATCTGTTTCCTCTGTATATTTAAAAAATGTGATACCTACTTGAGAGTGGTTAGAATTTGGTAGAAAATGGATGCAAAAGTGATTTGTAAGCTATCAAGTGCTATATAACTATTAGGTATTGTAGATGTAGTTATTTATATGACCTGTCCATCATGTATGCCTTATGATGGTGTAGCCCAATAAAAATTACTATGATTAATGGAATGAGTCTTTTTAATAACTTTTCTTTTTTTTTTTTT